ATTGAAAAATATAAAAACAATAAAAATTTATACTTCAGAAGTTAATTTAGTATCAAAAACGTAAAATATTTGAGTGGCCCAAGACATAGCCAAAGATTGCAGCGCCACAGCACTGGCGAAAATTTAAATTTGCCGACTGGAATTCTTTCGGATGATTGACTTTCGGATAATCGACGCTCTACTGTATTAAACTTTATATATGCAATCCCTTCTTTAAACCATTTTACCACGAAGTTTTTACGACTCCCTTTTATAATATATGGTGCAAAGCAAATCCCTGAATGGGCAAAATCTAAAATCATGAAATTCATTTATACTTTCTAGTATATTTTAATATTCGAAACTTCGTATTCTAGATTTACATACCAAAATGTACGAAATTGCAGTTATGAACAATCAAAATACATCTTTGACTTAATGCCTTATAAGATACATTACGTCCAAAAGCTGTTAACATTTCGTTATATAATTATATTTACATAAATCTTCGATGTTTTTTAATAAACATCATTAATTAATCTCTGAATGCTAAAGCTGTTAAAGCTTTCTGATGACCGCTATACTCGCGTTTCATTTCTCCAGTCGATACACTCCACAATCTTGCCAGATTATCGGAAGATGCTACAAATACGAATAAATAATCAAGAAGAAGAAAAAAAACCGATAGTAAATTAACAAATTATATTCTTTCCAATAACTTGGCTTACCCGTAATGGCGTACTGAGAATCTGCACTGAATGCCACGTCCCATACCCATCGTTGATTTACGTCTTTTAATTCCACCATGGGAGTCACTTCGGTGGTTTTCCAATTGTGTATCAATATTTCTTGACTTGAAGTATCTTTTTGGCTCATCAGCAATTGTAAATCGGCCGTTCTCCAGATTTTCCCTGTGGAATCTGCCGATGTAGTTACCAGCAATCTATAAGAAATGTTTTTAAAATAAATTGTCAGAAATTGGACAACACTACAACGCTCTGGCTTCGTGCACTGCTGGAGAGGGACCTCCATTTTTTATCGGTCCATTGTTTTATGTTCTCTTGCATCAAGTATTATTTATTACTGTTTATTTGAAACTGTATCATCTGTCAAAGATATTACTCTTCCTCCTGACTTTTAATGGCATCTGTTTTTTAGTTTTCTATTGAATATGCCTTGTATAATTTATTATGTGCATCAAATTAACCTTTTGTACTCGGCCCAAATCATACTGTATGTAGTTTTAACTTTCAGTTATGGTTGCCATACGTCCTTATTTAGTATGGACAGACCGTATTTTTCAACTGATTGAACAGTTAATAGTTAAATCATAATCACCTACATTTAAATCTGACAAAAGGTGTTAAATAATTATTATTGTATTTATTGGCTAGATGGCAAAGTTGTATATGCAAATGTAACGTAATTTCTCGAGTCACACGATTAACGTAACTCAAGAGACAACATTTGTTATGACTTTATCCATACTGCACTAGTGTTTGACGTAAAAAAATTCAAATTCCACTCAGATATTAACTTTTTAATATTCAAATTGTAATTATTATGTCAAAATCAAAACTGGAAGAAATAATAAATAAATGCTCGTTTTATTATGTGTTTTGATATGGTCATAATGCCAGGCTGCAATTTTTTATCATATATATGCTTTCCACCTGAAATTAGTAGTGTCCTGCTCCTGTATACCATACTTTTTCTGTTGGCAATAGAGTCATGCCGATCATCTAATTAACTCCTTTCGGGGGGAGCATTTTTTAAAATTGAAATAACGTGACTTACGGCTTGCATCAGAAGTTCATATATACTGCTCCTGCTCCTAATCTTTCCATATCTGGTCTTGTCTTTCATCTATCTAACTCCATTCTTGAGATTAAGGAGAGAAAGCAGACAAGACTACAATGGGAATTTATAGGTGTACAATTTTTTCAAATTGCACCCTAATGAAAACTGTACAGACTTTTGCAGCAAAAAGTTTATGGAACAAATGTTTTCAGTTTATGTTATAAACCTGTCTCAGGTTTCAAACTACAAAATTAATAGTTTGAAACCTGAGGCAGGTTTATAAAATAGACCGAAAACGTTTGTTCCGAAAACTCCTTTTGCCGGAGAAGTGTGTATAGTTTTCATTTTATTCTACGAAAGATAAATCCTAAGGTGTTAAAAATAGCATAATTAATACAGATTTGCATTGCAAAGAAAAGAAAAATTTTGATCATAAACCAAACTGTGATAAAGTTTTTAAACTTTAAAGAAATTGTCACTATACTAAATGTTTTTGGAAATCAGATTGTGCATTTAAAATAACTTTAGATGCATTTATTTAAAAGTATTATCTAATTATCTAAATTATATAAAGTGTCTATAATCATTCTATCAAATTTTGAGAGTTTGTTCAGTTTCAAAAGAAGTTATTCTTCATTTAAAATTGGAAGGTTATAAAATTATAGTGTAATAAACTAGAAGGCTATAATGATTGAGTTTAGGTTCACTAATATAAGAGAATGTAAATTGTATCCAAATATAAGATAAGAACATCATTTTTTGAATATGAGAATAAATATAGGATCCAGATGAATGTCCAAGAACTTTTTATTAAATGTAAATACTATCGGCCAACTTTAAGCGACCTATTTGTCTTTTCATAATGGCAATGCCGCTGGAGGATGTTTCAAACCAATTTGCATTATTTCAGAGGCGTAGCCTCAATTAAAAAGTTGTTTCTGGATGAAGATTGTATGTCGCTGGTGACTGAAGACTGATGTCTGAAGACTTTTTGTATCTTTTGTATTTTTATATTTTGTTAAATAAATATAAGAGCTGACTAAAGTTATTCTGTAAGAAATCTACTAAATTGTTGAGATTGCATCACGAAATTCTAGTAAAATTAATTTAAGTATTACTATTTTCATTATTCAAAGTACGTATAATATCTTGTATATACATCAAATAAGAAAAAAAAGAAGCAAAAATATTCTCAAAAGAATCAATAATATCAAATTAAATGCTTCAAATGGATAACATTGATGTGAATTATTTTGGATTAAAACTAAAAAGAAAAATTAAAATCCTCAATTTTTCAATATATTAAATAAATTATGCACTTACGTGGAATCTGGACTAAATTTACATTTTAATGCGTAACGCTTATGGGCTTGAAGTTTTAACTGTCTTAATGGCTGAGGAGTTTTTCCATCTTCTGTTGTAGCAACACTAAACAGATAGCAGTAACCCTACAAAAATATAAGGAAACATTTTTTATTTATAATTTTAAATAATTAAATACTTTCACTTAGCAAATTAATTTTTTGTACGGGTACTGTAGCTGAATTTTCTTTATAAACAGTAAAAGGTCTATGAGGTGGGGAATAATTCAAAATTATAAGATGTGCTTTAATGGACTATATGAACAATTGTTACATAGCATTTGAATTATCTCACTCATCTTCGAGAATGTTAATAAAAAAATTTATTTACAAATATTTCAAGCTATGTCACAAAGCAAATGGTAGCGATCTCCCTGAATGAAGAACACTTTGCTATGGGAGTTTAAAGAAAATTCAGTTCTTCTGGAATTAAAAAATTAATAATAAGGGCAGATTATTAAGTGATAAAATAAATTAAAGTACGAGATGATGTTTTTTTGATACAGTTACCTACAGAGCATTTTAGCCATTTCCAAGAATTCGCTAAGTTATCCGAGTCTCTATAATTGATTACACTAGTTACTAAGCTTCTCTTGTAGTACATCCATATAGACTTGGCAGTGAGGTAATTGGCTCCAGACTAAAGAGGTTTAAGCACTTCTTTGTCCCATACCGTGTTAAAATCCTGTCCAGTAGTGTTTATGTTAGGTTGGTTCCTGCTGTCATTCATATGTTCATTTGGTGTTACTTGTTACCCAAATATATTCTGAAGGGCAAACATATTCTAAATATAACAAACAGGCAAAAATTTCTAATATCCTCCCATCTAGGTTGATGTAACTATTGAAGTCCACTTACAACATTCAACAATAATGCATTCAAATTTATATTATTTCACAGACATCTATCAGGTTGCTTTATCCTCCTACCGAGTTTTGTAAACATTGGTTTGCTGGGTTTCAGGAAAATTCTTTCTCAGGATCTTCAACCAGTTGGATTTCTGAAGCTTTGTTTAAATGAAGAAACTTCTAAAGGGTAGAGACTCTGAAGGACACACTAATTATTTCTCCTTTACTAAGTCTTAGTTCTTGCACAACTTATCCCATCAGCACCAGGCAATAACTCAATTATCAACTGACGTCACATTAATCTCTTGCCCTGTACAATATAACCAACTTCAACATTGTCTTTATTACTATTCTTCCTTGGTTTGAAAGACAATAGGACTCCTAATATTCTATTCAAAATCTTTTGAATAATCCATGAACATCTTGCACCTAACATAACCTGCATTTTAGATAATTTATGTCAATGTTGACATTAATTCATGTATAATTTCCTACAGAAAATATGTAGGAGTCAATGCTTTTAAATCTAGATCAGCAGACGTGACTAAGAGGCCTCTTATGAAACTCTCATTATTTTACAAGCAAGTCAGGAAGCAATAGTGTCTACAAGCATGGTGGAAGAAAGCAAGATGTTCCATTGCACATTATTCATGACTTCATGTATAAACAGAGGGAAAACAAATACCAACAAAATCTTTAGATATTTTTTAATCTTAATTTTTAAACATTTCTTTAAATATCTGGAATTAACACCTTAATCACACATTTAATTTTTTGTATATAAGAAATCAAATACAAATTAAAAGTAATAAACAATTTTTAAAATGGTTTACTTGATATTTTTTTAATATAATATTAACCAAAGTATTTGTAAACTTTATCTTTTTTCTTGTTTTTTTCCTTTGTACATTAATTTCACTGATATTCATATTAATGCCAAGTACACAAATTATTATACATATTTTAATTATATATTTTATTACCTTTTCTAGTAAAGGCCAATTTAATTGCATTTGGACTCTTCTAAATACTTTGTTTATTATTTTAAAGTTAAAGTTTTGTTACCAATTTGCATACTATGGAAACACAAGATAAAGGAAAGTGAAGTCTTTATCATGTGCCCAACCCCCAAAATAAAGCTTTTTTTTAAATTTTTG